GCCTGTGCCCCGCCCCCATGGCGGGCGCCGCGTAGTCGCAGCAATTTTCCAAGTTCAGCTTGTAATGGCCCGTCGGGTTCCCGGCGTTGAAGTTGAGCAGCGCCTTCCGGCTAAGCTCTTCTCCCACCTCCCCCGAGCCTTTTCAGATAAGAATGGGAAGCGCTGCTTCTCTGAGCTTGCGTGCGCACGCGCGCATGGATTTGCAACTGACACGCATGCGTGCACATGGATGCAGTCGCTGGGTTCCCCTAAGTGCCTAGATGGTCGCCATTGGTAGCTCGTGCTTAGTGGTTGCTTGCGGTTGCTTTGGTCAGGTATGGCGCATGGTCTATGCTTGTATGTGCGTATGTGCATGTGCATGTTTGTGCGTGTGTGTGTGTGTGAATGTGTGTGAATGTGTGTGTGTGTGTGTGTGTGTGTGTGTGTGTGTGCGCGCCTGTGTGTGCGGCTGTGTGCATGTGGTCGCGTGTGTGCGCGGGCGTGTACAGGGGATGTGCCAGGGTGTCGGAGGGAGGAGGTGCACGGTGTGCGTACGGGGCGTGTGCCTGGCGGGCGGGCGGGGGGGCGTGTACGGTGTGCGTACGGTGTGTGCGTGTGTGCCTGGCGGGCGGGCGGGAGGGGCGCAGAGTGTGCGTACGCTTTCTGTTTGATGTCAGTGGTGTATTGTTTTACGTGGCGTATGCTCGGTATGGGCATTCATGCGCTGAGATCGTGTTGTACTCCTCCTCCTCCTCCTCCTCCTTCTCCTCTTCCTCACGCTCCTCCAACTCCTCTTCCTCCTCCTCCTCCTCCTCCTCCTCCTCCTCCTCCTCCTCCTCGTCCTCCTCCTCCTCCTCTGTGTGTGCGTGTGCGCGTGTGCCTGTGTGTCTGTGTGTGCCTGTGTGCGGCTGTGTGCGTGTGTGCGGCTGTGCGTGCAGGGTGTGTGCTGGGCGCGCGGGACGGGTGGTGTACGGCGTGCGTGCGGGGTGTGCTCTGGGGGGGACGGGCGGGGGTGTATACGGTGGGGGGCCGTCTCGGCGCCATCTTGGGCCGTCTTGGGACTCTCTTGGGGGTTATTTGGCAGCTTTCTGGGGCCGTCTCGGCGCCATCTTTAGCAGTCTTGGGGCTCTCTTGGGCCGTTCAAGGACCTCCTGGGGCGCTCCCGGGAATCTCTTGGGGCCCTCGTGGCTCGTCTTGAGCCGTCTTGGGACTCTCCTGAGGGCCTCTTGGGGCGCTTTTGGGCGCTGTAGGGCCCTCCTGGGCGTCTTTTGGGCGTCCCCTGGGCCGTTCCAAACCCTATGTAGACTCGGAGTCCCCTCCGGGGCCGTTTTTATGCGGATCTCGAGCGAAACAGCAAGTTTTCAGAAACCTTTCTTGACATGAACGGGAAGCGCGTGAAAGCGACGAGCTTTGCAAGAATGCGCAACATCATCACGATACAATGCTATCGCATCTCGGCGTTATCCGTCTCCAGAACCCATCTCCCCGCTCGAATTTCCCCATGCCGATTGAGCTTACTTTCCGCGTGAGTTCAGACAAAAACGCACCTCCCACTGGCGCATCTCGGTAATCCGTCTCCATACCCCCTATCTTACCACTCGCGTCCCCCTGTGTCAGGTCGAGTTGACTTTCCGCGCGAGTTCAGACGAGGCCCCACGCTGGCACAACTCGGCATCTTCCGTCTCCAGACCGCATTCCCCAATGTCAAGTCGAGTTTAATTCCCGCGCGAGTTCAGACGAGGCGAACCTCCCGCTAGCGCATCTACGATGACGACGACGACGATGACGACGGCGACGGCAATGATGACGACGACGGTGACGATGACGACGACAGTGACGACGACGACAATGACGAGGAAGAGGACGACGACACCGACGATGACGATGATAATGGCAACGACGACGACAACAACGACGACTACGATGACGATACACATGTTGATGATGTACCGAGCGAAACGCATACGTTTGAGCGAAATGGTTGAAACGCCATTTTTTAAAAAATGTACCATATTGGGCCGTCTTTGGGCTCCTCCAACAACTGCCTCCAACATATGTTTAGACAGCTTATTGCACATCGCATGTGTTGGAGAATGTCTCAGGCGAGAGCCTCATGTTTTGAGAATGCGACGAATCCGCACGCTCCCTAGACATCTCCGTTTTTCGAGGATGTCTCGGGCGAGAGCTACATGTGTAACATAAGAGGTCTAACCACAGTTCTTTCGGCATCCAGGATGTTTTACTCGGAACGCCCATTTTTGGAGATCGGCGCTTTCGCAAGAGATTTCAAGAACTCTATGCTTCGAGGATGTCTGCAGCGATAGCTGCATTTTTGACATAAAGCACCCTAGCATCGATCCACCAATATTGCAATTGTGGTGAAGATTTCCCACGCGAAATGACCATTTTGGGAATACGTTCCTGACATGAGCGGGAAGCGCGTAAAAGAGAGGAGCTGCGCAAGAACGTGCAGCATCACCGCGATGAGCCGCAATGTGAGCGAGCTCCCCGAACGTCCACAAGGGATACCCATGGACGCGCGCTCCCCGAACGTTATCAACCATGTTCCTGGGTATCCTACGAACGTCTTCTCTACGGCGTGGCGGTTTTAACGGACGTCGCCCTTTGAACCGAACCGTTACCATACGACGGCGACGACGATGACGACGACGACGACGATGGCGACAATGATGACGACGATGATGGAGGCAAATCTACCACAGGTCGGCTGGAGACAAATATGCCACAGGACGGACGGTGATCGGATGGCCGCCAAGGAAACAATTATACCACAGGTCGGCTGGTGACAAATATACTACTGGTCGGCTGGAGACAAATATACCGCAGGACGGATGGTGATCGGACGGCCGCCCGGGAGGCCAATGTACGACACGTCGAGTGGAAACAAATATGCCGCAGGATCGCTGGAGACAAGTATACTGCAGGTCGGCTGGAGACAAATATACCGCAGGTCGTCATCGTCACCAACATCAACATCATCGTCATCGTCATCCGCATCATCATCATTATCAGGAGGACCCTCGAGACTGCAGTTGTTGAGGATGTCTCGAGCGGGGCGCATACTTCCGAACAGAAGTGTTGACACACAAAAATTGTGTGTTTTGAAGGTGTTGCCTCCTGGGCCGCCTTGGGTGTCCTCCAAGAGCGCCTCCACGAGGCGCAGTAAACCAGCTGACTGAACATTTCATTTCTGTGAGGATCTGAACATCCCCATTTTTTCGAGGATGTCTCGAGCGAGAGCTACATGTTCAACATACGAGGTTTTAGCAGAGCTCTTTCGGCACCCTATTTTTTGGAGGATGTCTCAGGCGAGAGTCCCCCTCGAGGATCTGAACATTAGGCGAGCGATTTCAAGATCTCCATTCTGGGAGGATGTTTTTGGCTAAGTCGTCATTTTTGACATAAAACGTCTTAAACGAGAAACGCTCATTTGGGGAACCTTTCTGACATGAACGGGAAGCGCGTGAAAGGGAAGAGTTGCGCAAGAACTTGCAGCATCATCGCGATCAAATGTAGGACAAGCGAGCTCTCCGAACGCTCACAAGGGATACGTAGGGACACGCGCCCCCCGAACGTTCACAAGCATATCCCTGAATAGCCTCACACCTCCTCCACATGAGGAAGACGACGGCAAAGACGACGACCGGGGAAGAAAGGTTAGGAGGAGGAGGAGGAGGAGGAGGAGAAGGAAGAGGAGGAGGAGGAGGAGGAGGACAAGGAGGAGGAGGAGGAGGAGGAGGAGGAGGAGAAGGAGCAGCATCAGCAGCAGCAGCAGCAGAAGAAGAGGTGAGGAGGAGGAGGGGGAGGAGGACGAGGAAGAGGAGGAACAGGAGCAGGAGGAGGGGGAAAACGAGGAAGAACAGGACGAGGAGGAGGAGGAGTTGGAGGATAAAGAGGAGGAAGAGGACAAGGAGAAAACCGACGAGGAGGAGAAGGAGGAAGGAAAAGGAGGAAAAAGGCGAGGAGGAGGACGAGGAGGAGAACGAAGAAAAGGAAGAGGACGAGGAGGAGGAGGAAACATAACAAAAAAAACGAGGAGGAGGAAAAGGAAAAGGAGGAGAAGGAGGAGGAAGAGGAAGAGGAGGAGGAGGAGGAGGAGGAAGAGGAGGAGGAGGACATTTTGGGAGGAGGACTCGAGCGAAACGCTGATTGTGTCAACGAACGTGTTTAAAACACATAAGTGTTTCAATGTGTTCGTTTTTGGCGCCATTTTGGGGGTCATCCGAAATCGCTCCGACATGATGCCTTACAAGAGCTCCGACGGCATCCCATGTTTCGAGGATGTCGCTGGCGAAACGCCAATTTTCGAGGATCCGAAAATTCGGCGAGCGATTTCGAAGTCCCGATTGTTGGAGGATGTCCTGGGCGAAACGCCCATGTTTAGCAACATACGTCTTAAGATACGACCCCCAACATCGCGATGTTGTGAGGATGTATCAAGCGAAACGCTCATTTTGGGAACCCGCCACGCCCCCGACCACGAGTGCCTCCCGCGCGTTCCTCCCCCAGACCCCCCCCTTTACAAACTGCCTCTGACTTTCCAACGCGCGTCCATCGCGGAACCCTTCGAGTCTTAGCGCGCTTCCCGTCATCCGCCAGGCGCCCGACCACGAGGTGATAACGCGCGTTCCCCCCCCAGGCCCACCCCAGGTGATATATCCCTCTGGGCACCCATGCGTCCATCGCGCGACTTTTCGAATCTTAGCGCGCTTCCCGTCATCCGCCATGGTCTAACCGCGGAGGTCTCCCGAGCCCCTCCCCTCCTGCCCCCCCCTGTTGAAAAATAGTTTCCCTCCGGGCCCGCGCCAGCGTCCATCGCGCGACTCTTCGCATCTGAGCGCGCTTTTTTGGAGACGCAACCCCGATTCAGAGGTCTCGCGAGCCCTCGACAAAGCCTACCCGCTCTGGGGTGACCCGCGCACGCGTGTATCTAGGATGCATCATGCGTGGCTGGTGGCGGGCGCGCACGACTGGCCATGGCCCTCCGGCCACGAAGCAGGCGGCGCGCCGTTGCAGCCGCGGCGGAAAACAAGCAGAGAGGGAGAGTGCAGAAGGCAGGCTAAAGTGACACGCATGGGAGGCAACTCGCCCTTCCCAGCAGAGCAATGGTGGGAGCGTCATGCGCCGCAATGCAAGTGCCCGAGAACAGGAGCAACAGAGCGCGCGGAAAGTGTAACGGGGCGAGTATAGTAGTCTGGCCCCGCACCAAACTCAAAGTCGCCAGACACTTGCTCTGATACCCCCTGTTGCGACACGTACAAGACGGCGACGAATGACCAGCCATGGGACCCTGTTGAAACAAATCTGTAGAAGCTAGTATGTACCACCACGATTGAAACTCGCAAAATACAGAACCCATACTGCTCCTGGCTCAACAACTGTAATGGTGAGAAATGAAGACAGGGAAGTTGTGTGAGATCCAGCTGCCACGGTTCGCCACTGTATCCCGGCGCGTTAGTCGGTCGCCCCAGTACCCCGCCCGCCCTCTGGCGAGCGCGGCGCGGTGGGTATTGTAGGATGCGCCCAGGGTTTGCGCTGGCTCGCCCCCGTCGCAGCCGTCGTTGGACGGCATGGGGCTCCACGGTGGTCCTGCCGCCACGGAGCGCTCGGCCCTCCAGCTCGGTTCAATTCGGCGTGCGATGGCGAGCAGAAAGAAGAGAAACGAAACGTGTCCCGAAACGATCTGCAATCATGCTGCGCGGGGGCTTGCGACCCCGCTGACGCGAAGAAAATCGCCATCATCGCTCGAGCCAGGGCCTTCTTAGCGCGGTTCCCGTCATCCGCCAGGGTCTAACCGCGGAGGCCCCCCGAGACCTTTCCCTCCTGCGCCCCCCCCCCCCCCCCCAGTTGAAAAATATGCCCCCTCCGGGCCCGCGCCAGCGTCCATCGCGCGACTCCTCGAATCTGAGCGCGCTTTTTATGAGGCGCAACCCCGATTCAGAGGTCTCGCGAGCCCTCGACAAAGCCTACCCGCTCTGGGGTGACCGGCGCACGTGTGCATCTAGGATGCATCATGCGTGGCTACCGCCCTCTGGTGGCGGGCACACACGACTGGCAATGGCCCTCGGGCCACGAGGTAGGCGGCGCGCCGTTGCAGCCGCGGCGGAAAACAAGCAGAGAGGGAGAGTGCAGAAGGCAAGCTCAAGTGACGCGCGTGGGAGGCAAATCGCCCTTCCCGGCAGAGCAATGGTGGCAACGTCATGCACCGCAATGCAAATACACAAGGGAAGGAGCAACTGAGCACACGGAAAGTGTAACAGAGCGAGTATAGTAGTCTGGCCCCGCACCAAACTCAAAGTCGCCAGACACTTGCTCTGATACTCCCTGTTGCGACACGTACAAGATGGCGACGAATGACCAGCCATGGGACCCAGTTGAGACAACTATGTAGAAGCAAATATGTACCACCACGATTGGAAATCACAAAACTGTAGAACCCATACTGCTCCAGGCCCAACAACTGTAATGGTTGGGAATGAGGACGAGGAAAGTGTGTGAGATCCAGCTGCAACGGTTCGCCAATCCATCCCCACGTGTTAGGCGGTCGCCCCAGTACCCCGCCCGCCCTCTGGCGCGCTTCCCATCATCCGCCAGCGAGCTTCCTGGTGCAATCCGTACCCCAAAATTTATTTTCTATCACCAACAAACGGTCAACGCCGGAGGCGCTTCCTGCCATCCGCCACCGTACCGTCGGGCAGCCGGGGGCGACGGATGTGTACAAATACCATCGCCTGATACCGTAGGCACTCGTGGAGTGCCCTCAGGTCCCGCAGGCCCCTCCGTAGGAAGTACTGCTAGCACGTACACTTGAAAGGGCCCAGACCTGCGCTTGCTGGAGGCCTCATAGGTCGCTGTTGCGCGCTCCAGGGAATCAGCGCGTGACTTTTCCAGACGCCTCGGGAGCGTGGCCGCGGGCGTCAACCTGCAGCATGCTCCAAGGCGGCCCCGTGGGCCTCTCGGGCCGCCCGGGAGGCCCCAGGGGCCAGCCCAAGGTGCCCGAACGATTGCACAGCCATAAGCTTTTTCTGTCGGAGCTTGCTCCACTCTGTAAAACAGGGCTAGGATCGGGATAAATCGCTCCAGAGCGTTCCAGAGCGCTCTCAGAGCGTTCCGGAACGCTCTGGAGCGGCCGCGGCGCCCAATACATCCTCCAAACCCGCCGACTCTCAGAGATTTCGAGTTATCCCGATCCGATTTTGTCCCGATCTTCGCGTCGTTTGACTCTGCCTTCAGAGCACCTCTGGCGGCCCGGGAGGCCGCTCACGGCTCCCCCCAGCGCGCACCGCCCAGGAGGGCCCGAGCGTGCCGCAAGCGCGGCCCCGATAATAGCCGGCCTGCGAGGGAGATCGGGCACTGGCGGCCGGCCCCTGCTGCCGCCGCTGGGTGCCCCTCATGTCAAGTCAGAAGCCTTACACCAGACGGTGCGCCAGCAGAGGCGGAAAATGCCTCAAATGCGACACGATTGCACTGCCGACGCCCACGCTCGCGCTGCACCGCCCTCCGGGCGGAAGTACGCAGCCAGGCGAGCGGGCGTGCCGGCCACTCGTAAACAATTGTTCATCACCATGTTCCCCCAGCTCTGTCGGGGCCCCCGAAAGTCCTCAAGAGGTGCCCAGCATGGGCCAAGATTGATCGATTGGGCCGCTGATGGCCTCAGCTGTGGCTCTGTGACCGGCGACTCCAGACCTGCAGCCCGGGCTGGAAACGTTGAACGCTGCGTGCATCACTGGCGCGTCCAAGAGGCCTCCAAGAGGCCCCCGGAGCGCCCCCAGAAGCCTCGACGGGGGCCCACATGCGACATCCCAACTGACCCTCAGAGGCCGAACAGACGCCTCGGATCAGCTGCCCAGGAAGGCACGATGGCGGGATGGGCCGAAGGACACTACCTAGATACTCCCTCCTCATGCCTCCCTCCTCATTTCAACTTCATCAGGCCTCAATCCTCTTCCTAATCCGTCCTATCCTCCACATCGTGAGCAGTTCAGGCAAACTTCTATTCCACCCCCCCGTCTTCCCTGCCTGGGAGGCGTTCACCCCCGCCCCATGCCCCATGCCCCATACCCCCTCCTCAGGACCTAGACGGGGCGCCCCGTGGCGCATTAGATTGTTTAAGGCAGCCTCGGCGAGAAGGCAAATATCATTGATTTCCTTATTGAGCCCAGTTGGGCCTCTTGGGGGGTCTGAATGCCCCTACCCCCCGTTCTTTGGTAGATCTCGTTCAAGATGGCCCCAGGATGACCCCCAAAGCTCCCAAGAGTGCCCCAAGAGGCCCCAAGCGGCGCCCAGGAGGCCCCATGATGCCCAAACGAGGTCCACAAGAGGCTCCCAAGAGATGCACAAGAAGCCCCACGAGACTCCCCGGAGGCACCCAGTACGCTCCAAGAGGCCCCAAGACACCCCAAGAAGGCTCCAAGAAGCCAACCCGTTATTACACTGCATGCTCACCCACATCCCTGAACGGGGCAGCTCGCCTGGACATCGTGTCTGGATGGTGGGGTTACGCTGAGCGTCTAGAAGTTGTCAGAATCAATTTGGCCTACGGCGCCAGTGCTATCGAACTGCCAACAGGTATCTTCCAAACGCGAGACCCACGCGACCATGTGTCCCCCATGCCAAGAACTGAAATTCCTACCCGGCACTGCCTCAAAGTACTCCCCGCTCCGCCTCCTCCTCCTTCTCCTCCTCCTCCGTCTTCCCTGCCTCCTCTCAATGATAGTACTCCAACATTCCTCCACCTGCTTCGACGTCTCCTCCTACTCCTGATCATCATCATCCTCCTCTCACCCTCCTCCTCCCGACGGCCAACCTGTTTTTCTGACGATCATGCTCATCTTGCTCCTCCTCCTCCTCCTCCTCCTCCTGTACCCCATGCACCCCCTGTCCCCGCCACCTGACATGCATCATGTGTCCCCTTCCTACCCCTCATGTCCTTGATCCTTCTTCCCTTCCGCCTCCTCTTTCTCATCCTGCCACGTACGCCACCGTTCTCCGCGCCCGCCTCCGTCCCTTCTGTCTGTTTATTATCACCCTAATTCCCCGTGTCCTTAGTTTCCTGCTGCTCCTCCTCCTCCTCCTCCTCCTCCTCCTCCTGCTCCTCACCACCGCCATCCTCACTACCCACCTCCTCCGCCGCGAAGCCTCCTCGTACTCCTGTCTTTCCTTTTGTTTCTCGTCCTTCTCCTCCTCCTCCTCCTCCTCCTCCTCCTCCTCATCATCATCATCATCATCATTCTATCCGCGTCCTCCTCCTCCTCATCATCGAATCCGCATCCGCCTCGCCTCCTGTCTGCTTCACTCTCCTCCTCATATCCTCCTCCGCCGCTCCCCCCCCAGACCCCGTTTCCTGACCATCCTGAAAAGCATCGCCCGCCTCCCCCGGACCCATCCTCCACCTCCTCCTCAGCCTCCTTCTCCTCCTCCTTCTCTCCCTCATTCTCCTCCTTGTCTCACTCCTCCGCCTCCTTCTCCACCTTCGCCTCATTCTTATACTTCTGGTGAAATTTATCCGAGTGCGTTCTGGAGTCGCTGCCTTCCCAAAATCCCTGCTGCTGTCGCACAGCTGACACCGCTAGTGTAGCTGTACTATTTCCTGGGGTGGGGCCTACGTGGGCTACATGTGGACGGACGACGCTGCGGGCTTGGCGACTCTAGTGAAAACTAGGCTACCGATTAGAGCCTTCTGAGATGTTGCCGGGCAGCGGCTCGTTGTAACGAGGAAGTCCAAAGTCGCTGGTGCGTCCGCAGGAATTCGCTCAGGAGGCATCCATGCAAAGGGCATCGAAGAGAGCCAACCACGCCCAGAAACCTTACCCCAGGGATTCCCAAGGTCCCTCTCAGCTCGACCTCTCCTCCGACGGCGCAACCTGCTCGTAACGCGGGCCGCGGGGGTCATCCCCATTCCTGGCGCCAGCTGCTGATCCCGAGTCATTCCCTGGCAGACCAAAGGGGGGCCTGCATTCGCTGGTGCGTCCACAGGAAGTCGCCCAAGGATGCCACGGTCATGTGCCCCAGGAACCTGCCGCGGGCAGGCACCGCGACTCTCGTCTTCCTTCTCTTCATCACCACCACAATCATCAACATCTACAGCATCAGCATCATCAGCATTAGCATCAGCATCAGCATCAGCATCAGCATCAGCATCAGCATCAGCATCATCAGCATTATCATCAGCATGATCATCATCATCGCAACCATCTAACATCATCCTCACCATCATCATCGTCCTCATAACCAGCATCCATATCATCATCATCGCCCCCACCACCACCAACATCATCACCATCATCATCATCACCACCACCACCAACATCATCATGACCATCACCATCACCGGCATCATCAGCATCATCACCACCATCAACATAATCAGCATCATCAGCATGATCATCATCTTCATCCCCATCCTCACCATCACCGTCTCCATCACAACCATCATCACCATCACCAGCACCACAATCATCGTCACCATCATCCACAACAGCATCACCATCACCATCATCATCATCACCATCATCCTCAGCAGCATCCTCATCCTCATCATCATCATCATCATCACCATCATCACCATCACCATCATCGCCATCGCCACCACCAACACCGTCATCATCAGCATCATTATCATCATCCTTACTTTCACCATGACCATCACCATCACCATCACCACCGCCATCACCACCGCCATCACCACCGCCATTACCACCGCCATCACCACCACAATCATCGTCATCCCGCTCTTCCGCCTCTGCCTCACTTCCTCCGCCGTTCCGCCCCGTCCTTGTTAAAGTCTGTCCTCATCGGGCTCGGTCTCCCCTGATGTGAGCATCCTTAGAAGGCTGCAGGACGCTCCAAAGGTAAGCCCATGAGAAAGCCCAGAGAAACGCAAGGCATTCCAGGAAGAGAAATGCATGAACTGGCAAAACGGGAGGAGGGAGCAAGACGAGGGGGAAGAAGAGGGGAAGACGAGGGGGAAGCAGCAGGCATCGAAGAAGGAGGGAGGAGAATGAAGGCGGGCAGCAGACATGGCCTGAAGAAGAAGGGAGAAGTAAGACGAGGAGGAGAGATGGGGGAGAAATGGCAGGCAAATTTGAGGAGGAGCCGGAGGAGGACGGGGCATTTCTTGCACACCCCTCCGGTTTTTACGACAAACCCCCTAAACAAATCAACATTCAAGAACACCTTCATCTAACACATAAACACACCTGCGCGGAATAATTCCTGCCAGCCCGACCAGCCAGCCGAAGATCCGGCTTCGTACTGAAGCCTCACCTGAGGGAAGATTTGGACAATGCGAATGCTCACGATACCCTTCGGCAGCTGGTTGGACGCGCTTACCATGCCACCTGTAGACCAAATCAGAATGGCCTGGCTGGGTGCCCTGGTTCGATAGGGCCGAACAGCGTCATATCGTAAAATGCCTGAGCTGCAGAGTCAAGATGCCCGACAGCTGGGCGGAACTACCACGAAAGAGAGGGGGGCACAAGGCCTGCAACAGCGGTGTACAGCAACCCCAATAAAACAGCATCCTCGCGCATACATAACGGAACAAACTTCTGATCTCGCAGAGCTGTCTCTGCCGATAAGCCAGCTTCGTCTTCGATATGCCAATCTCGTCCTCCTCCTCCTCCTCCTCCTTCTCCTCCACCTCCTCATCCCTCCACGCCCCTCCCTCCTCCACATCTCTCCTCCTCCTCCTCCTCCTCCGCGTCGTTCTCCTCCTCCTCCTCCTCCTCCTCCTCCTCCTCCTCCTCCTCCCCTTCCTCCTTCTCCATCTCCTCCTCCTCCTTGTGCTACTTTTCCTCCTCCTCCTCTGCTCTTCTTTCTTTTCCTCTTCTCTCTCTTCCTCCCCGCCACTTGCTCCTTGTCCTCCCACTGCTCCTCCTCCCCCCTCCTGCTCCTCCTGCTGCTGCTGCTGCCGCCCCTCCTCCTCCTCCTCCTCCTCCTCCTCCTCCTCCTCCTCATCCTCCTACTCCACCTGGCGCCATCGTACCTCTTCCCTCCATTCCTTCATCCTCCTCGCTGACAGGCTCATGGCCTCACCGGCGCCGAGCTCAAGAACATCCCTCCTCTTCCTCCTCCCGATCCTCGCCCTCCTCCCCGCCCTCCTCCTTCTCTTCGCCTCCCCCTCCCCCTCCTCCTCCCCTCCCCCGCGGCGCGCCTCGAGGCCGCGTTGTAGGGCAGGCACGGCATCAACTTCCAGACGATGTCCTGCGACGAGGCGGCGGTGGCGGCCGGAGCCCTCGCCGTCCCCTGTGGCCGCCGACGGCCCCCCCAGCCCCCCTCAGACGGTAGTCGGGCCTCGGCCAGAAGGGCATCTATCCTTCAAGGACATGAGGCCCCCTGGCGGCCACAGAAAAGGGGGTAGGGGGAGGGGGAGGGGGGGGGGAAGGCTTCTTGGAAGGAGGCCGATTCTTAGGGGGTGCCGGCCCTGCATCTACAGAGATGTCCCACGATGTCCCAACGAACACCCAGGAGGAGGAGGAGGAGGAGGAGGAGGAGGAGGAGGAGGAGGAGGAGGAGGAGGGGGGAAGGCTTCTTGGAAGGAGGCCGATTCTTAGGAGGTGCCGGCCCTGCGTCCACAGAGAAAGCCCGCGCCTTCTAAGAGGCAGGGATGCGTTGAAGGAGCCTTCCCCCCTCCCCCTTCAAGTCGGACCCGAGCCAGAAGAGCATCCCTCAAGAACATGAGGCCCTCTGTCGGCCAAGACAAACAGAACCTCCAAGGGTACCCTCCCCAGGGTGCAGCGTGCACAAGAACATCCAACAAGCACGAGGAACACTCGGGTACCCTCCTCGAACCGACCTCGATCTCATACCTCGGTCCGATTGTACCTACCAGAACACCCCAACCGAACCCGAAGACCAAATTTCGGGTTGGGGGGTAGGGGTTCTATGTATTTGCTTCAATGTTTCCCGACACCCCCCCCACTGGGAATGGAAGGCAATTTGGGGCCTTCGGGTTGGGGTTGGGCGGTTTGGTGGGTGGTGGCTCTCTGGGGAGGAAGGATCCTTTGCTAGGAGCAGCTGTCAGCAAACCTCTGAGGGACCCCAGGATTTACAGACAGGAAGCGAACCGCAGACGGCGGAGAGCCCAGCGAGGCTCAACAAAACTAGACCTCTCGCATACCGCGATGGAAAGTTCCGAGATGGTGCCGCAGCTGCCGAGAGAAGGAGGCAGGCAATGATTGTTGCAGGATCCTCAAATGTTCCTTCTCCTGTTCCTTCTGAACTGGCGTCGGACATCAGGAGTGCTGATTGAACGGGGGAGGCGCTGCGTCGTTGCCGCTCCGTCCCAACCAAGATGGTGCTCTGGCAGGTTCCACCGCCCGCTAATGCAAGGTGACGGCGTGCCCGGACAGCAACATCCGGAGTTCGGCTACTCGTAGTGGTGGCCCTCCGCCTTGGTGCGCGGCGTTCGGGGGACGCGATGGGGGGGCCAAGCCCAAGCGCGCAAGCCGCTGATATCGCCTCGCATTCAATTGTAGAGACACCCCCATGGGCCCGCACCAAAGGTCACCCCGGCGAAGGGTCACTCTTGCGTGCGGTCGGCGGAAAGGGGTCCGCGACATTCTCTTGTAGCGCCTGCGTAACTCCCAAGCAAACTCGTGCGCGCATGCTTCAGTAGGTGGTGGATCAAAGGAACTGCCTGCGCCGCTGCCGCGGGTTGGCCATTCGGTTTCCGATGTTCCTGGGGCGCTTTCTAGAAAACAAACAGATATCCCCAAACCGAAGAACGATTTCGAAAACTGCAAGGCTGACACCACGATCTTGATGCTAGAGTATCCACCAACTCACAAGCAATACACCAATTCTAGAAGCCGCGCTTCCCGAAACAGTGAACGAGGCCATCACCAAACACTGACACTGGCACTCGCCTTTCTTGGCCTGGACCATGCATGGGAGACGCATCGCCTTCCTCAGCAACCAAAACCATGAACCACATACCCTAGCCTCTCCGGCAGATTTTGGAAGCCGCTTCAGCGAACGTGGCACAATCAGATGATACAACGGCATATCATTAGCTAGGCGTCTGCGTGCGCTCACAGAGCTTCTGATCAGCGGTAGCGCCGATCACATCGGGACTTGGCAGAACCGGGTTTAGTGGGACCTGGTTTAGTGATGAATACTGGGGGACGCCCCCCCGCCCCGTTCCACTAACCGGAACTGCCGTCACCCGAGAAAACACCAGCTACGGCAAACCTGGTTGAGTGATTCTGGCCACTTCAAGGACTCCCGAGCCCTACCACCAACCGGGTCCCCTTACCTGGGGTCCTGGCCATATGTGAGGAGGAGGAGGAGGAGGAGGAAGAGAAAGAGGAGGAAGAGGAGGAGGAAATTGAGGGAGGAGGAGGAGGAGGAGGTATCAGTGCGATGGGCCCGATGTGCAAATATTGACGGGCCAAGGGCGCGTGAGCCTGGCGCTACGCAGGACGCCACACATAACTTTCAGTTGGGCCCGAGGGCATAATATCAAGGGCTCCCAACCTACCGCTTCGCACTGCGCGAAGCGCGAATACCTTCGCGCTCTCGCGCCGTCTCCCAGGGGAGGAGAGGAGGATGAGGAGGGATCGGAGCCGAACCGCGAAGCGCGAAGCGCGAAGAACTTCGCGCCCTCGAGGGCGCCCTTGCGTATGCAAACTTCGCGCCCTCGAGGGCGCCCTCGAGTGTGCAGCGAAAGCTCGCCCTCCGACCCGATTGGCAGCCCGCCGTGAGGCGGCGGGAACCGAGCGAGGCGGACAACGGGTCGAGGCCGTTGGAGCGGTTTGGGCGTGGGGGTTGGACGGTCGGTGCGCTCGATACGGTAGTAAAACACACACAAACACACAACACACACAAAACCACACACACAAAAACACACACACATGGTGTGTTGTTTTACGTGTTTTGTCCTTCATGCCTGGGATCGACACGCCCGCGCCCCCGAAACCTGCGCAGCAAAGGCACCTCTTGCGAAGAGTAGTGACTCCTGCTTGTAGCCGACGGCCCCAGGGACCGCACAGAGGATACTGGCATGATGAACTGGTCCCATATACGGGGTCGGAAGGTCTGAGAGCGTGGTCCACCGCCGCTCTGCTGTGGACGAGCTCCCCCCCACTTCCTCGGGAACCCGAGTCAAACCCCCGTCCGAAAATCCCTCCCCCCTCCCCCCCCCCTCCCCCGGCAACCCCCCCCCTTCCCCTGATCCCCCCCCCTCCGGAAAACCGGGGGGGGGGGTCACTACCGGTTCGAACCCCCCCGCCCCCAGAAAAAACCGGGGGGTCACTACCGGTTCGACCCCCCCTGCCCCTCCCCCCTCCTCGCCGCCGGCAAAAAATTCCTGGGTCCCCACCAACGTCCTCACCACCGCCCTCACCAATGTCCCAACCACCACCGTCCCCACGACTGTCCCACTGTCCCCACCACTGCCCCATTGTCCCAACTGTTCTCACCACTGTCCCCCACTGTCCCCACCAGTGCCCCCACCACTGTCGCACTGTTCCCACTGACCCCACCACTGTCCCCACCACGGTCCCACTCTCGCTTTCCCCACTGTCCCCACCACTGTCCCACTGTCCCCACTGTCCCCACCACGGTCCCACTGTCCCCACTGTCCCCACCGATGTCCCGCTGTGCTGTTCCGCTGTCCCCACTGTCCCACCACTGTCCCCACTCTCCCCTCACCACTGTCCACGCTTTACCACAATCCCATTGTCCCACCACCGTCCTCACCACCGCACTCACCACTGTTCCAACCACCACCTTCCCCACCACTGTCCCACTCCCCATTGTCCCCACCACTGTCCCACTGTCCACTCACCACTGTCCCACCACCACCGTCCCCGCCACTGTCCCACTGTTCCTACTGTCCCCACCACTGTCCCACTGTCCCCACTATTCCGACTATTGTTCCCGCTGTCCCCACCAGTGCCCCCACCACTGTCGCACTGTGCCCACTGTCCCCACCACTGTCCCACTCTCCCCACTGTCCCCACTGTCCCCACCACTGTCCCACTGTCCCCGCTCCCCAGAACCATCCCCACCACCATCCTAACCACTGTCCCCACGACAGTCCCCCATCTGAAGCGGGGGAGGAGGGGGAGTCGTTTGCAGGCGGCGAGGAAGGCGGGGGGTGTCGAAGCGGTAGTGACCGTCCCCACTTTTCATGATGGACCGAAGGGGGGGGAACCCCCAATGACCCCCCCTGGTTGTCGGGGGGGACGGGTTGGAACCCCCCAGTCACCACCCCGTGATTTCTGCCAGCAGCGGCAGAGTACGCTCTTTCAAATGTCTATGTCTGGACTTCCGCGTCGTGAAACAAACTGTAACGTCGAAGGTCTGGGTCCTCCTCATCCTTTCCCCCCCTCCCCCACCCCCACACCATCCTCCATCCTTTCTGCCCCTCCTCCCTCCTCCCATCCAGACCCCTGCTTCTCCTCCTCCTCCTCCTCCTCCTCCTCCCTCCTCCTCCTCTCCTCTCCTCCCTCCTCCCTCCTTCTCCTTCTCCTCCTCTCCCTCCTCCTCCTCCTTCTCCTCCTCTCCTCCTCCTCCTCCTCCCCTCCTCCTCCTCCTCCTCCTCCTCCTCCTCCTCCTCCTCCTCCTCCTCTTTGTCTGTCTCCTAAATCCCTTCTCCTCGTCGGACCACCAGGCGTGTCGACAGGCCGGGCCGGCAATTTCGCTCGCTGCTGCCTCCCGCAGATTCTGACCATTGTTAACAGTTGCACGGAACTGGCCATCGCTCGGACGTCCATTCCCTGTGTTTTTCTTTCGGTTTCGTGCGCGGTTTTCTCGCCAAATCATCCAGGATACTCCTCGATGGCCCTCGCCGAAGGAAAAATGCACACTTCCGAGCGATACCAAGGGAAAGAGGGGGGTCGATATCTCAATGCAGTGCCCGCCCCCTAGCGACACGCACGTTCGTCTTACCAACTTCCAGCACTTACTCGAACCGAGGGCGGTTGTTTCCAAACTGAGGCTATCGCCCTTGCGCCGCGCACTTCGCTCTGACAACAACAGCGGCTGCACGGATGGAGGGGCGTGTGCAAAATGTTACCCTCGCAGTAGCGCCGCACCAATTCGTCTTAAAGGTTCCCTAGAGCTTCGCGGATGGAGGGGAGGCGTTTTTCCGAAACGTGGTTGTCGCCCTAGCGCCGCGCACATGTGTGGCAAAGTCTTTCAACAGGCATACGGGTTGTGAGGGGGTAGTTTTCATAGTGTGGCTCTCACCCTCGCGCGGGGCAGACTCGCCCTAACCACTCCCAAATCTGCACCCGGTGGAGGGGGGGGCGTGTTCAGAAGGTGGCCCTCGCCCCACCGCCGCGAACATGCGTCCTCAAGGTGTGGAGCAGCTGCACGAATGGAAGGGAGCTCCTTTTCAAGCTGTGGCTCTCGCCCCACCTTGCCATCGCGTTTCCCGTGCAATTCTCGTGCATTTTTCGTTTTCGTGCATTTTTCCGTGCATTTTTCGGATTCCCGTGCACTTGTCGGATTCGTGCGTGTTTTTGTTGCTCGATGGCCCAGCATGGTCCTCGATGGTCCTCGCCGAAAAGAAAAATGCACACGTCCGAGCGCTGCCCAGCCCCTGCCGCACTGCGAGAGCTGCACGACTGGAAGGGAGCCCATTCTCAAGCCGTGGCTCTCGCCCCACCGCCGCGCACGCTCGTGACATAACTGCCGCCACCCGCGGCTCGTGCGTGCATTTTCTGCTCGATGGTCCAGGATGGTCCTCGATGGTTCTCGCCGAGGAAAAACGCACACGTCCGAGCGATGCCCAGCCACTGCCGCGAACATGCGTCCTCAAGGTGTGGAGCAGCTGCACGACTGGAAGGGAGCCCATTCTCAAGCCGTGGCTCTCGCCCCACCGCCGCGCACGCTCGTGACACCACTGCCGCCACCCGCGGCACGGCTGCAGCGCGCGGCGGCGGCGGGTCTCGTGCGCGTTTTTGTTTCGGCTCGATGGTCCAGGATGGTCCTCGATGGTCCTCGCCGAGGGAACATGCACACGTCCGAGCGATGCCCAGCCCCACTGCTGCGCACGCTCGTGACAGAGGCTGCCGCCGCCCGCGGCACGGCTGCAGCGCGCGGCGCTGGCCCTCGCGGCAGCGCGCGGTGGCCCTCGCCCCCGCCCGGCCGAGCGCCGCGCGCTCACGCTGCGACTGGAGAGCGAGGCCCTCCGTGTGAGAGAGCTCCACGGAGGGAGGGCCCCTCGCTCCTATAACACGTGGCTCTCGCATCCTGCTGGCCATCGCTCGGAGGTCCATTCCCTGGTCTCGTGCGTGGCTTTTTCGCCAGATGATCCAGGATGCTCCTCGATGGCCCTCGCCGAAAGAAAGTCCCTCTGCGTGAGAGGGCTCCTCCCCCTCAAAGGAATGTGACTCTCGTCCCCGGCGACGCGCACGATCGTCCTACGAGCTCCCAGCGGCTGCACGGCGAGATCCCTTCTCTCCTCGTCGGACCGCTGGGCGTGTCGGCAGGGCGGGCCGGCAACTCCGCTCGATATGCCGCCTCCCGGAGTCTGGCCATCGTGAACAATTGCACGGAACTGGCCATCGCTCGGACGTCCACTCCCCCTGTGCTTGTTTTCGGTTTCGTGCGTGGTTTTTTCGCCAAATCATCCAGGGATGCTCCTCGATGGTCCTCGCCGAAGAAAAAATGCACACGTCCGAGCGATGCCAAGCCTGGCGACGCGCACGTTCGTCCTACGAGTTCCCAGCGGTTGCACGGCGAGAGCCTGCTGCTGCTGGTATGCAAAAAAAAACCTCTCGCCCTCGCGCCACGCACCTTCGTCTCAAGAGGCCGCGCCGCGACGCGGATGGAGGGGAAGCACCCTTCAAAACTGGGGCTCCCGCCTTGGCGCCGCGCGCCTTCGTCCCAAAAACTTCCTACAACTACGCGGATGAAGGGCGCTCCATTTCAACATGTGGCTCTTGCGCTAGAGCCGCGCACAATCGTCATTGAAGTTCCCACCAACTACACGAATGGTGGCCGGCGACGTTTTAAATGCGGAACTCGCACGAGCGCGGCGTATATTCCTCGTACACACTTCCAGCAGTTACACGCATGGAAGGCGGTTCCTCTTTCAAACTACCTTTTGCTTGAGAGTTCCTGAATCCTGGCGATCCAAAACCTCAAGTTGTGCATCAGCCGTATGGGCGGAGGGACGCTCCTTTTGGTATCGGGGCTCAGGCTTGGTACTTCCAAAAAGGTTGTATGGCGAGACATGCTGCTCGGAATCAGGGCGGATCTTTTTTCCAAGCGGGGCTCTCAATGGATAGCTTACGGGACTTCATGATCCTACCTCGCCGCCGTCCTCCTAGCTAGAAACATGTATTGCAACTGATTTCGAAACAGGCTCTCGCCTGAATTTCAAGACCATGGGGCACTGGCCTTCCAGGGGGGCACTCCCGGCAATAAAACGAAATCGAAATTGGGGGCTTATGACCGGGGGGCGCTGGAACGGGCGGGCGTATTGCAGCATCGTTGATGCATCTTAGGTTTACGCTGGTCCTCCTCCTCCTCCTCCTCCTCTTCACTCCTCCGTCCTTCCTGCACCCCCCCAATTCTTCCCTCCCCCTCTCGTCTCCCACTCCCCCGTCCTCCGTCATCCCTCCTACCCCTCCGTCCTCCTTCTCTCCCTCGCCCGCTCGCTTGGAACACCTCGTCCTGCGTCTTGCCCTCGGGCCCCCACCCGTTGGTTTAGATTGCTGCCAAGGCACCCGCATCCCCCCCAACGCAAAACCTAGATACCCAGCGGCCCAGAACAACAATGGCGGCCCTTCTTCTTGCTGTCGGGCCCTCGGGTGCGCGTTTCGGCTCCCGAGGACCCCGCCGGAACGGCCCAGGATGAACAATAGACGCTCTAGGGAAGGGTCCGAATAGTCTGGGGGCTCGCGTCGCGAAACAAGGTGGGCGTTTTCTTATTCGGTGTTTGGACATTGGACGGAAGGGGGGGGGGAGCGGGGGGATCTGGCTCCAGACCTTTGCTTACTGCGAGTGTTTGCAACAGTGCGTCCTATGAGGGAGGCTCCACC